AATGTGAGGACTTGAATCTAGAAATACTTTGGAGTTGACAAGAAAAGTTCATAAAACAGGAAACAAGGACAGAAATAGTGTAGGTAAGAGTTGGGGTAAGAGGAATGCAAAAATGGAAATTAGAAACAGAGTTTCTCTGAGTAATGCTTATTGATGAGGAATACCAGGAAGGGGGTGATGTTTAAATAGTTTCTTCTTCATTGTTCCTTCTGGGAAACTTCTTTAGCACTTTGACAAACAATTATTTTGTGCTAAGAAATTGGAACTGAATGAGATAGTTATTTAGTATTTAGATTTAGTATTTGACTGCAGTCCTCACCTCACAATTTAATTTAGAAAATGTGTTCTAATAACTAGGATATAATTTCCCTAATTATGATTGAGAATTGGGCTGGAGTGATAGCACAGCTAGTTAGGTGTTTGCCTTGCACGCAGGCAACATGGCCAACCTAGGTTCCTAGATTCCTCTGCCCCTCTCGGAGAGCCAAGCAAGCTACCGAGAGTATCTCACCCGCATGGCAAGGCCTGGCAAGTTCCCTGTGATGTATCCAATATGTCAAGCAACTTGTGCCTGCTCAAGCAAATTGATAAACAACAGGAGGACAGTGCTACAGTGCTATAATTGAGAATGAACACTTTTTTATATCAGCATTTACTTTTGACCTAAATGTGGCATTGACACTGGTTAAGCCATGTTTTGAATCAATTGCTTTCACTTATGCCACAGCTTTGTGTATTGTGGTTATACATTTACTAACTAGCCTGTCGTCCCTAAACTTCTTAGGGTTTTAATGCTTGGCACTTGCATGATAATAGTCGGAGAGCAGAATTTCCCCTACAACTTCATTAAAATGGTTCAGATCATTCTTTAGTGTGATAATCAGCATGATGGTTTCCAGCTGACTGCCTTCTGGGTGGATGATACAGATATATCCATAGGTCTCTTCTTGGGGAAGAACCATGAGCCTCGAGAAAACTAATGAGTTGGGAGCAGAAGCAGTGTGTGTTACTTTGTAGTCAAAATGCTAGTTACAGGACCTTGTGTGCTCCTATCCCCTCCTATTATATTATGAATGGAAATGTTTGTGGAGACTCCACCACCAGCCTGTCTCCCTGTTTCGCCATCATATGCACAGCATCACTCCCTAGTGTGAGCAAGAAATGTGCCTTCATGGTTGGGAGTCCCTGAGAATTTAGCATTGTTATTCCCTTAGTCTAACCTTGCTTATTCAGATGGCAACATTCAAATTTCTCCTATTGAAAAGATGGAGAGGAGTTGTGTTTTCTATTGCAGCTTCCTTTTGATGGCTGCTTTGCAAGTATTTGTACTGAGTCCCCACTGTCTTTTTGAAGTGGCACTTGAGGTGAACTGTGGGCTGCATCTGAATCACAGGCAAATATACAGATACAAAGAATGATAGGAAGCTGCTTTGGTTATGAGACTTAGCTGAAGGGTGGGAAATAGATTGCATAGGAACATGGCAAAGAGAGATGAGAGTAAAATGGGAAATATTCCAAAAGGGGGAAAATCTGCATTCAGTAGACAGCAAGTGAAAGTTAAGTCAACTTACTGCATCAGATTCAGTTATTCAGCAGTCAGTGTAACTTCACGTGAGTCTTTATCCTGCAGAATTTTGCTCTTTGCACGTAGGGTCTGCAGCCTCTCAGGAGATTGCAGTCATTCCACTCCTTTCAGAGCCAGAACTCTCACACTTTATCAGTTACATTAGTGGGAGAACCAAATGTGATAATTGTAAGGATCAGGTTAGAAATTCTGTTAGCTCACATTGGTTGCTGATGTGATTCCGGGATTTAAAGTTGCCTGTTTCACGGATGAATGATATGTAGCAACATAATTAATATAACCCTGTATTTTGAAACATCTTAAGCCTAATCAGCCAGGTTATTTTTCAAAATGCCTTTACATTTTCATTTTGTTGTTGGTTCGAGAATTTATTTTTTCTTGTTGGGTCATACCCAGCAATGATGCTCAGGGGTTACTCCTGGCTCTGCAGTCAGAAATTACTCCTGCAGTGCTTAGGGGACCATATGGGATGCCAGGTATCGATCCGGGTCTGCCGTGTGCAATGCAAATGCCCTCCCCTCTGTACTATCGCTTCACCCCGAGAAAAATTGTTTTTAAGGAAGATGTTGTATAACAAAAATACTCTAGGATTAGAAGTCAAAGTTGAAACCTAGTGTCAACTCTATAAATATAACTGTAAACTTGGGCATGTAAATTTCATACTTTCCATGGAGCTGTTTATACCATTAGAAAAAATTCAGAAGATATCTTCAGCCTTATCAATATAAGGTGTTCAAAGCATATAAAATATATTATTTGTATATTATATATAAGCATATGTATATGTACATATATATTCAGAGATAGAGAGAATAAGTAACTCATGATCTGATGAAAATAAATCAGAATAAACATTTCTGCAACAGGCATAGAAACATTAATACTAGTGTCAAAATCTGAAAATAGTTTCATACTCAATTTATTTGAGTAGAGAAGTACATGGTTATAATTGATATTATTCTTGTATGAAATGTAGTTTTTATTTAACTTTGTGTCTCTGCATTATTTTTCCACACAAAGCACATGTTCTTTATTGCATGCCCTTTGATGAAAGTTAAATGCATAAAATATACTTTCTGCTGCCAAATTGTATTTGCATAGGCTGCTTAATTTTGTAAATGATGCAGATAAAACCAATGAAGCAATGTGTTAAACCAAAACAAATCTGGAAGTTAATTATTTTAACAAGAGACTCTCCTGGAGATTATAAATTAAAAGTACGTTCTTCTGATGAACTCTGTTTTCTAATTTAGTTATTTATGTCTCTCACTTGAGGAAAAAATGTTCTCAGAGATAAAAAATGAGTAACACTTCAACAGGTTGAAAGATAGAAGTCTTTCTCTTATAAACACATGTTTTCCTTTTTTTTTCTTGCCGCACTCTCGACAAGACAATTCATTACCTACACCTTACATCTCTTTTTTATGTAAATGATATTTTCCTAGAAATATAAGTTTATTATACTTACATGTATAAACATAATTCATAAACATTTATAATGTATTGTTCATGCACACATATCTATATATATACACACAAATTTTCTGTTCATGTATATTTCATAACCAAACATTTCTGACTTCTATTATATTCTAATGTCAGACTCTTGGAAAGACTTTACAGAATGAGTAAGAATAAGGTAAAATGACCAGAGAGATACTAAAGGAGGTACTATCTTGCTTTGCACATAGCCAACCCAGGTTCAATCCCTGTCATCCCAAACAGTCCTCTAAGCCCTGTTAGGAGTGATCCCAAGAGCAGAGCCAGGAGTAAGCATTGAGCATGACCAGATCTGACCTCCAAACCAAACAAACTAAAAGAATAACATAAAATAGAAAGCTTTACATTTCACTATTTCAAAGAAAAAGCACTCTGCACAATCTGTTGGAAATCTGATTTTTCTGTAGCTGAAAAGTTAATTCAGTTAGAGATCATGCTTTGCATGCAGGAGACCCTGGCTCAATCCCTGGAAACATATGGTCCTCCAGGTACGGCTGGGAGCAACCAGGGAATACTGAAGTGGAGTACTCCTGAGCACAGAGGATATTGTCCAAAAATAAAGAAACAAATAATCCCCACCCCCAGATCTAGTCTTACTATAAATCTGTAGCATTCTGATAATCCCAGGAAAAAAGAATAACCTAAGATAAAGAATAAAATTTATTCCAACATAATTGGATCATTGTCTTGTTTGAAAAATGCAAATAAGAGGCTGACTATTCATTGGATCCCAGGCACTCATTCAACCACTGACCACTGAAATTCTTCCTAGGAACCTACAGTTTGGCAAACAGGTTAATCTACAGGAAATTTTTTTTTTAACCAGTAAGAGCTTTCTGCTTCAAAACAAAGCCATCATGTAGCTTAATTTCCAAATGGATTGCAGGTTTTATTTTGACAACTGAGTAGAATAAATGAAATGATGAATATAAAAGGAAAGAATTAAGAATGTATTTGGCAGAATGCCAGTATGAAGGCATCTAATTGAACTTTAAAAGCATATTAAATGAAACAGTAAACAGTAAATTGATTATTAGAATATTAAAAATAAGACAAGGGAACCAAATACCAATAACTAGAGTATGATTTTCCCTGATGGTTTTCTTGAAATTACTCTAAAGAATATTAAAATAAAACAAATTGAGCTGGGCATTCTAGTAATAATTAAGTAAACAGTTTTATCTTTGAAAACATACCTCATTCTGGTACATAAAATGACCCGACGAGAAATAAGTTGGATCTTATGAAAGGATGGGCCATGGGTGTGGGAGTGGGGCACTGCAGTGAAGAGGAGATGAGGCAACTGTACACCAAGACCATAAATGTTAACACAGTTGCAAACACATTACTTTAATTCTACTAAATTTGATATAATTGATACATTTTAAATGAAGGCAAATAAATATGTGTCAGTCTTATCAGAATATTTTATTGTGTACATACTTACTTCTTTTAAGTTCTAACTATAACAAACCTGTCTCAATATATGGGAAGTGACTACACTTAGATAACACAGGATAATTTCTAAGAGTATAATATTCATGTATGTGAGTCATACCTGGTTGTGCTCAGAAGCTACAGCTGGTTGTGTGATCAGGAGACTAACCAGTGCTGAGGATGGAATCCAAGACTCTCACAGGAAGTACACACTCCAGCCTCTTGAGGCACTTTCCCTAAGAGTATTAATTGTGTCAAGCAAATAATGCGTCTTCTATTCTAACAATTAGGTGGAAGGTCAGGTAATGAATGAAAATAAATATGTCTGCATATTCTGGAATCAATGCTCCAAATCATTTAAAACTGCTTCATATAATTAACAGGTATACTATTGGGATGCATAAGTAGATACTCCTCAGCATGTGTTTTATTGGAAGCATGATGATGGTGGCATTCACTGTGACACTTCCTCTTTCAGATATCAGAGCTTTTGATCCACAAGCTCAACCAAAACTTGGTACACTTTGAGCTGAAGCCTGGAGTCCAAGTCCTTGTCCATGCAGCTCACTTAACAGCAGGTAAGTTTTGGCATTCTTGATCTGGGTCTGTGGCTCTGGAAAGGAGGTATTTCTTTCTGTCATTTCAGCCAAACAAAATGAGATGAGAACACAGCTAATCAGAAATAAGGCATCACTTCTTCTTTTGTTTGGTATTTTGACCTCAATAGGAATCCCTAAATCAATAAGAGATCATTTTCCTTAATCCCTGGAAAATAACTTCCATACTCAACCCAATTTTACTCATATAGCATGCTTCGGATAAACTGAAATCTTGAAAATCAGTTAACCTTGCAAAGAACTTTTTTTCTAATTTTCTGTGAATTTCCACTTTCATATCATTCATATTAGAAATATATATGTAGACATATGCACATATATTTAAATTCAGGGATTTAGTAGAACAGTAAAATCAACTTGAACTAAGAATTGAAGCCTAAACACCCAATAATTTTGAAGAGTTTAATCCCACTGGAGTGAGCAAAGCTCACTGATGATGACAAAATATAACACAAAATTGGGAAGATCAGGAAAATACTCCCAAATCATTGTTTATAGTTTATTCCAAATAGGGAATTTGTTGAGCAGGAGTGTGATTTCTGGGAAGAAAAACATGTTTCTAAGAGGTGAGGCAAGAGCCCTGGGGATTGAAGGAAAGACTCTTGCTAGAGTCTTTGTATGAAGACAGCATTGTATGAGCGGGTGAAGCCAAACAAGGGCCCACTTACTGGTGCTTCAGGGAGGCAGACACTGTCTTTCTGGCTTTTGCAAGAAGAGAAAAGTGTTATTAATGTCCAGAGCACAGAAGAGGCAGGAACAGCGGTCAACTCAATCTCTCTGTCTCTTTGCTTCTGAAATATTTCTACAGATAGAAATTTTACAAGTCCCATCTTGTCTTGTTTCTTGACACAGGGGGTGGATCTTGGTAGAAAGTGAAGTGGGGTCTTGTGGTGAAACACCACTGTCTCAGAATAAATAGGATGATGATGGCAACAAATAGGATGATTTTCTTATTTTTCCCTAAAAGGAAATCTGTAACAATCTTTAAATCCTTCCAAGTGTTCTGAAGGTAAAGGGTGAGCTAGAAGGACTGGGATATCTGAGTTTCTCCAAATTGTTGCTTCCTGCATAAAACAATTTTAACCTGTTTACTGCTTCTGCAAAGCAGGTGCTGAAAAAAGTTATGATTTTTCATCTAATTCATCACTGTCAGTAGCTTTGTCCCTTTAGGGCCACAGTTGCACAAAATTACTATGAAAACAACACCGACAACAACAGAATGAAAGTGGGGGGAAAGCCCAATCTTAAAGTGGGTCGCTTTAGAGACATTGAAAAGAAGGAATAGAATTTGGTTTAGAACTTCTACCTCCAATCTTTCTTCTTTCCTCTCACACCCCCACCCCAGGCAAGATAAAATTAAAAAAAAAATTTAAAAAGAGGAAGAAAAAAAAAAAGGACTACTGTTTGCAACATTTCATGTCTCATAAGCAGGATTGCTGATACCTTCCCAGGGACCATTCCCGCGCACTGCGGCATCACATTAATTGCCCGGCAGATGTTCGGCAGACTTTTTTTCAAAATATTTCAGCCAGAGTATGTTGCTGGTTAGAGAACCAATGCGGTTTTTTTTTTTTTTTGGTTTGTCTCCAAGGGGAAAGAACTGTCTCTTTTCAAGAATTTACTGGCCTTGTTTTGCTTTTTAAATTCAGTTCCCTGATCACTTTAATGGGAACACAAGGTAAGCATTTCCAGGTATCTGAACAGCCAGAAACTGAATTTATTTGGTTCCAAGCTCCTACCCCCATGTTCTATTGGTAAATTTATTATCTCTATTCTGTAAATTTAGCCCAACTTTAAACCCTAGCCATGTTTTCTTCTTAACCATTCCTCTGCTTCTGTTTCTTTGGAATTCTTCTTTAAGTTCTGACCATTCCTCATAGCTATTTCTGATGTTCCCACTGTCAAAAGGAGAGCTTTGAGATTGTTTGAGAACAAGGAGATGATGGGAATAAGTTAAGAAGGTCAGACAGGACTGTGATTTAAGGGGCTTACTTTGGTTTTTAGGACTTGGTGGCACCCAACATCCCTGTTTAGTACACAAAGGCTAAACAACCTAGACAGTTGGAAAAGGGAATTAAAGTCAAACTGGGTATTGGACTGAAAAATCTGGTATTTTACTTTTACTCATAGCATGCTCTACTGGGTTAAGCATTCCCTCTTTACCTTCCCACATCTCATAAACCTTTTTTTGTAAAGGTTTTTTGTGTAAAAACTCAATAAAATTTGCCCACATTTTCATGGCTACTTTCTAAAAACTCTACCTTATACCATCAATCCCTTGTCTCAACTACATGGATTTTTTTAAATCTATATTTCTATGAGATTATCACTCCAATTTAAATTATTGAGGATATATTTTATCATATTGATATCATCTCTGTTATAATACCACAGAGTTTGCCTATATCAGATGTTCAATAGTTATTGCTGATGTAAATAACTAGATAGAAAATCTATTTTTACTTTATAGAGGTATAGTCAAAACTCCCAACCTACTCCCATCCAAGCCTCTCTTAATCTTCTGATTTATTCAGTGAGCATATCTGTAGGACATCCTATTTCTTATCAGATTACTGGTGAATAAAGTCATGCCTTAATTTGCCAGGTGATCATCCAGGAAAAACCAATCTTTGAATTTTTATTTTGTTAGTAACTTTTTAATGTTACTATTGATATTTTATGCACATTTTAGAGAATGGGTACAGTTGAAGAAAAAGTGGGTGTGTACTACATGTAATTATGTATCTCAGAACAAGACAACTTTGACATAAGGGGGGAAAGACTGGTAAGAGTACTATTGCTAAGTGATACCAAGCAAAAAATAACTTCAAAAGCCCTTACTGGACTGCTCTGGATGCTCTCATTAGTGTCCTAGTATGAGAGAACAGCATTAAATCATGGGAGATGTAAGGGTCGCACACCTTAGATTACCCTCTTATTACCTAGTCAAACAAAGCAGACATTTCATTTGTTTTGTTCTGTTTTGTTTTATTGAACTTTCTTCTGTGTACTTTCTCACTCATGATTTATAAATATTCTGTAATTTCTTTGTATTTGCTTGTCATCAATTTTGCACATTCCTCTCTGTTTTACTAGCTGTCTCATATTAAGGAGGGTTTTTCTACAAAGATGCACAGGAAAACTGAATCTGATGCAGAGTACTTGATATCTATGGTACTTAATGGTCGAACAAACTTGAGTTAGAAAAATGCACTTAAATGTCATTAGTCTCCTCGTTGCCTCTGATAATTCAAAATTTACTCAATAGAAAGGTCTATTTAAGATATCTCAATATTTTTCCTACATGAATCTACACTTAACCATTTTTCTAAAAACTCGGTACTTACAGGGCTGGAGCGATAGCACAGCGGGTAGGGTGTTCGCCTTACAAGCGACCAACATGGCCGACCCGAGTTCGATTCCTCCGCCCCTCTCGGAGAGCCCGGCAAGCTACCGAGAGTATTCGATATGCCAGACACAGTAACAACAAAGTCTTCAATGGAGACGTTACTGGGCCCGCTCGAGCAAATCGACGATCAACGGGAGGGCCTTACAGGGCAATGAGATAAACTAGGATTGTCACTTCAGATATCAGATGGGATTTGAAACAATGCTAGCTTTAAAAAGCTTTGCTAATTCTAAATAAAGTGGATTAAAATAATTTCATACTGAAGGTTATGAATAAAGAAACATTAATGTTGAATCTGAACTAAAAAGGAATATATTGAGCAATGATAGAGAAAGGTGACATTGTATGCATACAAAGTGAATAATGTGACATAGCTTAGATCTCTGAGTTGCATGTCCTCCTAATTTCCTAATTGGTATATAATCTGGGGTAAAATATAACGCAAAAGAGAAGGATAAAATACAGATGAAGAATATAACACATTATAAATATTGTTCATCCATAGGTAAGTTAAAATTTTCAAAGTCTGCAAAACATGGAAACAGTGGAAATGGGCAAATGAAATTACATGCAAAACAATATATTCTGCACTAGTCAATAATTCTTTCATTAAAATCCACCCCTTTCCATGTAAGATGAGATATATTTCCCAAATTATTTTACAAGAAACTTCAACCCAACTGAAAATGATGGTAATTTGTTTGATAGACACGAGTATCTAGAATTAGGACCCTCTTTTTTGGTTGCTGAAGAAGATTGCTTTTGTGCTTGATGTTCTGAGTTCACATATAAATCAAAAATCTAATCAGAAAGCTGAAAGAGGGGCTTGCATTTCTTCTGAAAAGATCAAGACCAGGTGGTGCATTCAATTTTGACCTGAAATTTACCACCTCTTGGTAGAGTTCCAGGTGATGGAATCTGCTATCAGGTAATAAACTGAAACACTAATTACTGAAACATTTTTTTAAAGTTTTATCAAATTGTTATTTGTCCTTAATGTTAGGGTGAAATGAAGGGAATTCTCCAAGTTCTTCAGAGACTGGGAAAATAAACAAGCAGAGGTGGAAACGAATGGTATCAGCAAGTTGATTTTTCCATGGTAGAATTAATGAGGTAATATATAAGTGTGAGTGTTAGAGACCCAGCAAGCAAGGGCAGCATTGCCAACCACAAACCTAACCCAACTGATCCCTATTCAATTACAAGCAGTAGAATTTCAGTGAGAATTTGCATTTCACAAGAGATTTATTGATCAGGTAAACAGAAACTTGATTGACAGAACCTCTATAGAATAAGACTAGAATGGATAGAACAGATCCATTTCCTTAAAAAATTAAAAAATGAACCCCTGTTATATAGCTCGAAGAAAAAATAAACCTTCAGAATCCTGTCATAAAGCAACAGGATTCTTTCTTTGTATTTTTTTTTAATTTTTTGGGGGGACCACACCTGGCAGAGATCACTCCTGGCTGGACTCAGGGAGGACATTTGGTATGCAAAGGGACATTATAGTATTATTCTTTTCTTTCTTTTTTTTGGCTTTTTGGGTTAC